CGTTTTGAATTTGTGCATCTGGCGAGGAGCTGCGTCGTCCCCACGGGGACACGGGCCCCACGAGCTGCCCACGGAGCCTGCCCGGCACACCCTGTATCTCCACAGCCCAGGGAGCTGCTGGAGAAGCGAGGAGCCAGGCCTGGCTCACGGTGTCACCGGGATCACAGGCAGAGCTCAGGGACAGACGATGTGGGAGGAACTGGGTGTCACGGGGATGTTGAGTCATATAGGGTGGGCTTTCTATCCAGGGGATGAAGCTGTCAGGCAGTCATCTCCTGCAGCAAGCTGTGACAGGGCTGATGTCCTCAGCCTGGTGAAGCACCCCGGAGTGGGGCTGGCACCCTCCGCCAGACCCCGGCACCTGTCGCCGGCTCCCCTCACCGCTGGACCCTGGCCTCCTGTGCACGCCAGGTCCCCTGCGCGGCTCCGGTGTGACACCGGGGGCTGCAAGCCCTTAGAGCCCTTTTCCCAGGGAAGCTGCCCCAAAGTTTGTCTGGGCAGGAGCGGCTGGCACGGCCGGTGACATGAAACGAGCTGGCAGGTAGACAGCCGGTGGGATTACGCTGGTGTTGATCTCATCACGGGGATACACAAAGGCCGTTGAGATCAGGGCCCCGCGCGTTCGGCCTGACACAGAGTAAAGGACAGGGCCTGCCCTAAAGAGCTGAAGCCTCAACCCGAATCAAGAGCTCTCGGTGGGTTCAGGCAGCTGCGAGAGGCAGGCAGTTTCCCTGCCCAGTGTGTGGCATTTCTCAGGGCACGGCGTGGGAGCGCAGGAGGCAATTGCTTGGCCAGATCAGGTCCTTTCTGCCTTGCCTGCCCCAGCAAATCTTGGCCATGGGCAAGAAGATGTTAATTTGTGCGAGGCTCCTCGTGCCCTCCTCTCTGCCAGGCTCTGGTGCTCTCTTGATGAAGGAGCCTCAGACGGTGCCAGGACCTCTCCTTCCTCCGATTCCCCGCCACCTGCAGAAAGCCCGGTGCCTGTGCCCCACCGAGGACACAGGGTAGGCAACACCCGTAGGCTTCTTGTCACATGCAAAGGCCAGTTTGGATCCACGAGGCACCAAGAGTTGCCCGGAGGTCACCTTTGGAGATTTAGGGCTATACCCACAACCAGGGCTGGGGCTAACGGGGGCACCCAAAGGTGGGAGCTGGGCTTGCTTTTCCAGGCACCCATAAAGACCTTGAGTGGCGAGCCCGGGGAGCCCACCAAGCTGTCGCAGAAGCCGTCACAAGCCTGGTGAAGAAAGGCAGTGCGTGCGTTTCTGTGAAGAATGAAAACACCCCAGCCCCATTTCCATGTGAATGGGGATGCTGAATTTCGTGGCGTAACCAAACACTAATCAACTGCTGGCTGGTGTCTCCTGGCTTTTCCTCCAAAGCCTCTAAGCTTATCCCCTCTCGGAGAAAGGAGGTGGATTAGGGGGTCCTGCAGGCCCAGGGCTGCGTAGCTCCTGCCCAGCACTCGCGAGCAGCCCCTTGGGGCTTAGATCCGTTCCTCCCACCTTCCCCGTGGTGATGGCACCTGTCGGTCCTTGCTTGGCTGCTGCCTGGCTCACCCGTGCTACGATTCTGACAGCCTCCCTAGCCCCCGAGTCTCTCGCCCGCCCCAGGGGCTCGGCACTCGGTTTGCATAAGCAGCAAAGCTTATTCTAAGTCCTGCTAAGCCAGCCCGGGTGGTGGCGGGGAGCCAGCGGATGACAGGGAGCTCCAAGGAGCAAAGCCCACATCCCCCCTGAGTTTTCCACGGTGCAGATGTCAAGTTTGGGGCGTGGGCATACGTGTGCATGCACTGTCATGCCACGAGGAGAGGGAGGAGTGACGGCCAAGCCCCTTGAGCTACAGCCCTCCGTTCCTACACCCACAGGGTGTTGTTTGCTCCCCCAGACCCTTGGCCCTGCTCTGCCTCAAAAGCCAGTGCAGAATTGCTCCTCTCCGCACACACATACTTGCGTGTGTCCCAGCCAAGCAGCAGGGTCTTAGTCATGTGTGTGGGCAGGCACATGTGCGTGTGTCCTGTCTCCACAGCGTGTTGGACTCTCTAACTTTGAACGTGGGTTTGCTTTCTAACCAGCTGTATCATGCCTCTCCCCACTTCTCCCTGCCCCGCTCCATCCCCTGCACTCCCTCCCTGCAGGTTTTACTGGGACCTTATCATGCTGCTCCTGATGGTGGGGAATTTGATCATCCTGCCTGTGGGCATCACCTTCTTCAAGGATGAGAACACCCCTCCTTGGATCGTTTTCAACGTGCTTTCGGACACTTTCTTCTTGGCTGACCTGGTGCTGAACTTCCGGACAGGCATTGTGGTGGAGGACAACACGGAGATCATCCTTGACCCTCACACCATCAAAATGAAGTACTTGAAGAGCTGGTTCCTGGTTGACTTCATCTCCTCCATCCCAGTTGACTACATCTTCCTCATTGTTGACCTGGAGACCCAGGTGGATTCTGATGTCTACAAGACAGCCCGGGCCTTGCGTATCGTCCGCTTCACCAAGATCCTCAGCCTGCTGCGCTTGCTGCGCCTCTCGCGCCTCATCCGCTACATCCACCAGTGGGAGGAGGTGAGAACCCCTTGGGGGTCCACGGCCTCTGGTCAGAGTCTCGGTCCAGGTCAGGGATCCCTGGCTGTGGGGTACGGCTGGCTGAAGGATGGGGGTTCAGAGGGTGGTTGTGGGAGAAGATTCTCTGTAACTCCACTCCTGCCTCTTCCCCAGATCTTCCACATGACATACGACCTGGCCAGTGCTGTGGTGAGGATCTTCAACCTCATCGGCATGATGCTGCTGCTGTGTCACTGGGATGGCTGCCTCCAGTTCCTGGTGCCCATGCTGCAAGACTTCCCCGAGGACTGCTGGGTCTCCATCAACCGCATGGTGGTGAGTGCCCCAGGCAGGGGCGATACTGGCCCTGAATCTAAACGGGGTGG